GGGGAGAGATCATAAGTCAAGGAGGGTGGTAAACCTCCGTCTTAAAAAGGCAGCACCTTAAAGATGGAAGGTTATCAAGCTCATGTCAAGAGTGTATTCATTCCATAAATAAACTAATTAGATTAAGCATTCATTTTAGAAAGTGGCTGGTCATCTCTCTGTCCTCACGCGCACGCAGAAACTCAAGAAGATGGACGCGTTGGAGGAACAAAATAAAAAGCTCACAGCCGAGCTCTCACAGCTCAAAGAGCAAATGGCGCAAATGATGGAATTCATGCGTCACCAAAACATACATGGGGCTCCACACAGTGACCATGAGTCCCATCATGAGGAAGAGCAAGATCCTCCGCAGACTTCCCTTTTTGAAACTCAACCCGGAACTTCAATCCACCCAAAGCAAGCTTCCTAGTCCAGAGTCATTCTCTCTAAAACTTCTCTCTAAAACTTCTCTCTAAAAACCTTATCTTCTCCTCAACCACCCAACTCTATTTATAGAAGTTCAGGAGTGGCCATAACGGCCTGTTCCGAATCCGGAACGGCTCGTTCTGCACCCCTTTATCTTGTGTAAAAATCACATGCAGAACGACCCGTTCTGAAATCAGAACGGCCCGTTCTGGGACTCATTCAGAACAACCCGTTCTCTCTCTAGAACAGCCCGTTCTCTTTCCAGAACGACCCGTTCTCCAACTAGAATGACCCGTTCTAGGGTTTGAAATGCCCTGTTCTCAACTACATTTTATAGGTCAATTCAGTAGTTTGGAACGGCCCGTTCCAATTTGGGAACGGCCCGTTCTGGACTACTGAATCACCCATACTGGGCTTTTGGGCCTTCTAAAAATTTTTACTACGTTACATTATGTCTTAATGGATTAACTCGATAGTCTAATAACCAAAACTTTAGAACAAAAAGTGATAAAAAAAATTGTATCAATTTTGTCGAACCTAACGGATCAATTGAGCTATGTTGGACTACTTATTTTTGGACTTAAAATTCACTGAGTTTGTTTGACTTAATTTTATATTTTTTTTCTTTGAAAAATTTAAATAAAATGGAAAATAAAGTAAAGTTGGCAAATGTGTCCTATTTTGATAGATTAATGAGTCAAAATTGTTCAATTCAAAATATCATAACAGTTCAGTACAATTTAAATTGCAGTTCAGTTCAAGTTTTTATAGTATAGTTAAGTTCAGTTCAATGACATAAAAAAATAGTTCAGTTCAGTTCGTTTGAACTAATATTTAGTTTAGTTCAATTCATGAGAACTACTTTTAAGTTCAGTATAATTTTTATAAATTCAGTTCAATTCAGTTCATTTTGCCCACCCCTAATTGTGTCACGCAGAGCTCAAGCCTAAGCAAGCATCAAAACTATCAAATTACAGTACAATAAAAGTTGAGGAATTTCTATTGGTGAAGTGAAATAGTGGTCGGAAAGAATACCAATAACAAACGCACTTTGCTGAGCCTACATTGACATTAGGAAACAAAGGTAGGAAAGTAAATTAATGAGGTTAGTTGTCCCAATAATGAAAACCTTATAATTGTACTAATTAATTCTTATATATTAAATGTAAATGATTATTTTTGTATAAAAGCATTTTTAAGAATTATTTAATTGAAGATTTTTATGAATTTTTTTAACTTCTTATTTAACTTAGTTTTATATTTATTCATGAATTAAATTTTAATATCTTTAAAATAAATTATCAATAGATGAAAATAATTTTGTATTGTAGTATAAATTATTTATCTTAAATTTAAAATATAATTTATATGTTTAAAGATATCTATATATAAATATTTTAAATATATATAATTTATTTTAAAATTTAGTTATATATAACATACTAGTTTACATAATTTCTATAGATTTTCTCAAGAAAAAAAATATTTAGTTAGTTAGACAATGCCTAATATTATCATATGGCTTTTGATATTAAACACAGTAGAGAGAATTGATGGTAGTCAATTAAAATATGGGCCAGAAGCATTTTTGGAAGAGAAAAATGGGAAGAA